ATTATTCGCATAAAATTATCCAACTTTCCTTGGAATAGGCACAAACTCCTCTCCTCTAGACAGAAAAAAAATGTTATCTTTTCCCCCAAAAAAAACGCTCAGGAAAGAGAATTTTTGGGATATTTTTAGGAAATTTTTGGGAAAGGATCCAAAAGCGGCAGTTTCTGCCAGGATCAGCAGTTTTATTTCTGCTTCCTTTAATTTATTTCTATTTTAAAATTTTGCAGCAGCCATAAAAAAAAACGCTCCGTTTTGGATTGGATCCTCACAGGGAAGAATCCAAGGATCAGCCGGGTTATTCCTTGGGATAATTCTTGGATTTAATGATTTTAGGGATTTTTTTCCCCCCAACCTGAACGATTTTATGGATACGTTGCTTCTTCTGCTTCCTTTAATTAATTTATTTCTCTTTTAAAAGTTTGCAGCGGCTCGATTTCATCAAAATACGGAAAACGAGGCAAATAAAAGGAAAATAAAAACCCAAAACCCAAGAAAATCCTGTAGATTTTGGGAATGCGGAGGCTTTGGCAGTGCTGAGGGAATGCTTGGATTTGATCACCAATTTATTTCGAAAAGGATCCGAGGACGGGGAAGGGAAAACTCCACAGGGACGAGAAGTATTTGGGAAAAAGTTGTTCCCAATTTTCCCTCAGAAGGTTCTTTCCAAACGCCTTTAGCCCCCTCATTCCCAATCCCGCAATTCCAAGGATTCCCCCATTCCCAAGGCTCCCCTCACGCCAGAGGAGCCGCCGCCCCCAAGGTCCCCTCCATGCCCCGCAGTGCCAAAAGCCCCTTGAATATTAATCCCCCGCCATTGCCGAGGATCCCCGTCAGTGCCAATCCCAATTCCAAGGATTCCCTCATTCCCAAAAGCCTCCACATTCCCAAAAAAACTCCATTTCCAAGGAAAACCCTTCCCACGCCCCCCCGCCGGTGCCCAAGAATGGTCGCGCCCTCTCCCCCCCCACCTCACCTCACCCGCTCCCACCGCTCCAGGCCCCGCGAGCACCGCTGGCCCCGCCCCCTCCCCGCCGACCAATCAGAGGTCGGAGCCGCGCTCGGCGCTGTCCAATGGCGTTGCACATCCGGGTTGGGCGGGGTTTATTTACAGCGCTCCTTGTGATGACGTAATGTTCTCCGCGCGTGACGTCACGAGGTCTCCGCAGCGCGCGGGTGGGTTGGAAAAACTGGGAATTTTCCCGCGGGAATTCTGAGGTCTGGGATGAGCTGAGGAGGGAATATGGTGGGGGGAAGGGAATCCCCGGGCTGCGGGAACGGCCCTATCCCAGAAGCCCCGAAGGAAATGGGAGTTTCTGATTTTTTCCTGAGGGAAAAGGGAATTTCTGTTTTTTTCATGAGGTAAAAGGGAATTTTTGGGTTTTTCCTGAGGAAAAAGGGAATATCCCGTTCGTTTGGGAGGGAAAAGGGAATTACTGCTTGTCCTGGAGGAGGGGTTGGTGTCTGAATTTCCACAGGGAAAGAAAAGAATTCATTTTCCAGAGGTAAAAGGGAATTTCAGATTTTCCTGTGTGAAAAGGAAAATTTATGGATTTCCAGCTGGTTTCTGACTTTCCTAAGAGGAACAGGAATTTTTGAGTTTTCCCAGAAAGAATGGGAATTTTACTCCAGAGGGAGAGGTTGGTTTCTAATTTTCCTGAAGGAAAACAGAATTTCCTGTTTTTTCTGAGGGAGAAACCGATTCCTGGTTTTCCATGTGAAAAAGCAAAACTGTTTTTCCTGATGGAATGGCTAATTCCATGTTTTTCCGAGGAAAAAGGAAGTTCCTGGTTTTCCTAAAGAAAGAAGGAATTTCAGGTTTTCTGGGTGAAGAGGTAAGATCCTGGTTTTCCTGAGGAAGAAGAAATTGTCCATTTTTTCCTGAGGAAAAAAGGAGTTTCAGGATTTGCTAAGGGAGACTCTGGTTTCTGTTTTTCCTAAGGAAAGAAGGAATTTCTTTTTGCCTAAAGGAGAGGACACTTTCCTGAGGGAAACGTTGATTTCTGGTTTTCCAGAGGGAAAACTGAATTTCTTACAGAGGGAACATTTGGTTCCTGAACTTCCCAATGGAAAAAGAAGCTTCTGGTTTTCCTGAGGGAAAAGGGAAATTCTGTTTTTCCTAAAGGAAAGATCAGATCCTAAAGAAAAGGAAATTCTATTTTCTGAAGGGAGAGACTAGATCCTAATGTTCTCAAGGAAAAATGGAATTTCTGCTCTTACTGAGGGGTGGCTGCTTCTCAAATTCCAGAGGGAGACAAAAATTCCTGGTTTTCCTGAAGGAGAGTCCTGGCCCAGGTTTTCTGAAGGGAAATTTTTCATTATCCTGAGGGAGAATGAAATTCCTGCTCATCCTGAGGGAGAGGGTGGTTTGTGGATTTCCTGAGGGAAAAATTCCCATTTTTCTGGAGGCAAACACCAGGGTCTGCTTCTCCTGAAGGAAAACCTCATTCCTTCTTATCCCACCCCTCAGACCAACCAGGATATCCCACAAAATCACAATTTTTTGACCTTTTTTCCCTTAGGCCTGACTCCATGGTGGAGCAGGAGAGGCTACGGTGTCTCCTGAGGCTGGTCCAGGAGGGAAATGTGGGATTTCCTGAGGGAAAAATTCCCATATTTCTGGAGACAAACACCAGGGTCTGCTTCTCCTGAAGGAAAACCTCATTCCTTCTTATCCCAAGCCCCCAAACCAAGCAGGATATCCCGTAAAATCCAGATTTTTTGGCCTCTTCAGGCCTGGCTCCATGGCAGAGCGGGAGAGGCCATGGTGGCTCCTCAGGCTGGTCCGGGAGGGAAACTTGGGATTTCCTGAGGGAAAAATTCCCATTTTTCTGGAGGTAGACATCAGGCTCTGCTTCTCCTGAGGGGAAACCTCATTCTTGCTTATCCCAAGCAGGCTATCCCACAAAATCCTGATTTTTTTGCCTTTTTCCCCTCAGGCCTGACTCCATGGCAGAGCAGGAGAGGCCGTGGCAGCTCCCGAGGCTAGTCCAGGAGGGAAACCTGGATGTGCTACAGGATTTGTGGATTTCCTGAGGGAAAAATTCCCATATTTCTGGATGCAGACACCAGGGTCTGCTTCTCCTGAGGGGAAACCTCATTCCTTCTTATCCCAAGCCCCCAAACCAAGCAGGATATCCCGTAAAATCCAGATTTTTTTGCCTTTTTCCCCTTAGGCTCCATGGCGGAGCGGGAGAGGCTGTGGTGGCTCCTGAGGCTGGTCCAGGAGGGAAATGTGGGATTTCCTGAGGGAAGAATTCCCATTTTTCTGGATTCAGACACCAGGGTCTGCATGTCCTGAGGGAAAACCTCATTCCTTCTTATCCCAAGCCCCCAAACCAAGCAGAATATCCTGCAAAATCCCAATTTTTTGGCCTCTTTCCCCTCAGGCCTGGCTCCATGGCAGAGCAGGAGAGCCCGCGGCAGCTCCTCAGGCTGGTCCAGGAGGGAAACTTGGGATTTCCTGAGGGAAAAATTCTCATATTTCTAGATACAAACACCAGGGTCTGCTTCTTCTGAGGGAAAACCTCATTCCTGCTTATCCCAAGCTCCCAAACCAAGCAGGATATCCCATAAAATCCTGATTTTTTTGCCTTTTTCCCCTCAGGCCCGGCTCCATGGCAGAGCAGGAGAGGCCACGACACCTCCTGAGGCTGGTCCAGGAGGGAAACCTGGATCTCCTACGGGATGAGCTGAGGCTGGATGAGATTCCAGAGGCTCTCAGCTGGCACTGGGGACGTTTGGGAGACTCCCTGCTGCACCACGCGGCTCGGTTGGGGCACCGGGATGTGCTGGAATTCCTGATCCAGGAGATTGGGATGGACCCGGAGGTGGCCAACGGGGACTACAAGAGACCCATCCATGAGGCTGCTTCCATGGGACACCAGGAATGTGTGTCCTTCCTCCTGGAGAGAGGGGCCAGCGTGGACTGCTTGAAAAAGGGGGACTGGTAGGTGCTGGGATTTGGGATTGGGATAGGGGAAGGTGGGAATGTGGCTGCTGGAGGTGGTGTTTGGGATCGTGGAATGGATGAGAAAGTGCTTCAGGATCATCCAGTGCCACCTGGGACACCTTTCCCTATCCCAGGCTGCTCCAAGCTGGCCTTGGACATTCCAGGGATCCAGAGGCAGCCACAGCTGCTCTGGGAATTCCAGCCCAGCCAGGAATTCCTTCCCCAGATCCCATCCATCCCTCTAGCAGTGGGGAGCCATTCCCTGTGTCCTGTCCTTCTATCCCTTGCCCCCAGTCCCTCTCCAGCTCTCCTGGAGCCCCTTTAGGCTCTGGAATGTGCTGGAAGCTCTCCCTGGATCTTTCCCTTCTCCAGGGGAACATTCCCAGCTCTCCCAGCCTGTCTCCAGCCCTGGAGCAGCTCCGTGGATTCCTCTGGATTTGCTCCAGCAGCTCCAGCTCCTTCTGTTGGGATCCCAGAGCTGGACTCCATGTGGGATCACCTGAGTGGAGCAAAGGGGCAGAATTCCCTTCCCCTGCTGCCCACACTTGGATCCAGTTGGATTTTTGGGAGAAATTCCAGCCCTATCCCTGCTTTCCCCCACTTTTCTCCTAAAAATTGTAAATTCCTGCTCCACTCTTCCCTTAGGGATGGAAATCTCTGGAAAAAGGAAACAAGGATTCTCCCCAGCTCCCAGATGAAAGCCTGGGAGGGTCCTTTGGAGCCACAAATCCAAATGCTGCATTCCTGAGCTGGGAATTGAGGCTGAGATTCCATGAGCCTGGATTAAAACCAGGGAGCTCTGCACTTCCTAAGGCATATCCAAACCTTTGGAAAAAGTCTCATTTGCCTTAAAAACATGGAATGCTCTGAGGGTCTGCACGGAAAAGGAGCTGAAGTATTCCTAACCTGGAAAACTGGTGCTGTAAAATCTCCTGGATCCTCAGGCAAAGCACCTGAATCCAGGTGGGGATTTCTCATCCCAGGTTATTTTATTCCCCCAAATTTTCTTCCAGGACTCCCCTGATGATGGCTTGCACCAGGAAAAACTTGGAAGTGATCAAAACTCTGGTGGAGCACGGAGCCAATCCCTTGTTGAGGAATAAGGATGGCTGGAATTGCTTCCACATTGCCAGCAGGGAAGGGCATCCCGAGGTTCTCCGGTTCCTGCTGGATGTGTTCCCAAACTGCTGGGACACGGAGAGCACCACAGGGAGAACTCCTCTGCACACAGCAGGTACGGATCCACCTCCCAGGAAATCTGGGAGAGCGGGAAAGGGATGTGCTTCCAGCTTATTTTGGAGAAAGAAAAAAATAATCAGGGAGAAGGGATCCATCCCAGGATCTTCTGCTGGTTTTGGGATTGAGTTCATCTCTGCCTGACACAGGTGGAGCTCCCTTCACTTAGAATATGGATCTGATTTTCCTTCCTGGTATGTAAACTGCTCCTGGAAAACCTCCCCAGCTCCAAGCGCATCCCGGCGTTTTCAATCCCTGAAAGCAGCAGAGCTGCTGAGAGGAACCTTTGGATTTTGGGGAGGTTTATGTTGGATATTGGGAAAATTCCTTTCATGGAAAGGCTTGTGAGCATTGGAATGAGCTGCCCAGGGCAGGGGTGGAGTCCCAATTCCCGGAGGGATTTCAGATCCATGTGGATGTGGCACGGTGGCAGTGCTGGGAATGGTTGGGCTCAAGCACTTTTCCAACCAAAATCGCTCCATGATTCCAAGAATAAACAAATTTGGGATTTCCCTTGCTCTCATCCCACGGTGTGAGAATTCCAGAGGGGCCTTCCTGCAAAGAGGAGGGACAATCCCTGCTGGGAATACCCAGGAGCTGTCCTTGGAGCCCACCACATCCAATTCCCTTTTCCTTGCTTTGAAGGGATATTTCGAGGGTATGGGCAGCTTTAGGAATCCCTAAAGCCATCCTCAGGATTGTTGGGAAGCAGGAGGGCTCAGACCACATCCAGAGTGGGAATTGGGCTGCGTATCCCAGGCCTCAGCAGGAGAGATGAGCCCTGGCTACCCAAATTCCTTTCCCAAAGAATTTAATGGGGATTGACTCCCTGGAAAAACCCGAGGTGTTGGGAGGAGCCCCTGCTGGGCTGTCATTCCCGTGGCTTTTCCAGTCACTCTTGGCTCATCAGCCGTGACAATTCCAGCCCTTGGGCACCACCGAGTCCTTGTGCTTGACCTGGGAATGAAAAAAAACAGGGAATGAGTTGTTTTTGGGATCAGAGCAGGTTGCCTGAAGCGGCTGATCCCGATTTTTCCAGTGTTCTCCCATCCCTGCCTTACTCCAGGTGGTGTTTCCATGGAATTGGCAGCTCCTCTCCCAGCAGGAGGGGGATGTTGGGCTGGGATCTGGGACTTGAGGGGGACAATTGGACATTCCAGGGTCAGGGTGAGCTCTGGGATTTGGGATTATCCAAATCTGGATTTGAACCAAAGTCTTCTCCCTGCCTTGGGATATGGGAATAAATTGGGATCCCAGAGCTGGACTCCATGTGGGATCACCTGAGTGGAGCAAAGGGGCAGAATTCCCTTCCCCTGCTGCCCACACTTGGATCCAGTTGGATTTTTGGGAGAAATTCCAGCCTTATCCCTGCTTCCTTCCCTTTTCTCCTAAAAATTGTAAATTCCTGTTCTGCTCTTCCTTTAGGGATAGAAACTTCTGGAAAAAGAAATATTTCTTTGGCAAAGCCACTGATCCACAATTTGGGTGGATTTCTGGAATTTCCTCATCCAGCCAGACCCTGGGAATGGGGAAGGGCTGGAATGATGGAATTGGGGAATTAAAATTAACCCCCCTCACTGCCCCCGGTTCATTTTGATCCCAAACTGCTCCTCCCTGGTATCCCCACGCTTTTCCCAGTGGATATTCCCAGCTCCTGAGGCAGGAGGGGCTGTGGAGGGAATCCTGTCAGGATAAACTGCCTTTTCCATGGATTTTCCATGGATTTTCCATGGATTTCCATCCCAGAGCTGTGGCTGTAACCCATGAGCAGGCCAGCTGCCTTTCTGGATTGCTGAGGGGTCGTTTTCTCCCTCTTGCAATAACTTTTTATATTAATTTTTAAAATATTTTTTTATTATATTTATTTTATTATATTTATGAGGGGTCACTTTCTCCCTCCTGCAATTATTTTGATATTAATTTTTCATATTATTTTTATTATATTTATATTTATTATTTTTATTTTATATGTATTATATTTATTTTATTATATTTGAGGGGTTGTTTTCTCTCTCCTGGAATTATTTCTTATATTAATTTTTTATATTATTTTTAATTATATTTATTATATTTATTTTATTATATTTATGAGGGGTTGTTTTCTCCCTCCTGCAATTATTTTGATATTAATTTTTAATATTATTTTTATTATATTTATATTTATTAAATTTACATTTATTATATTTATATTTACTATGTTTATATTTACTATATTTATACTTACTATGTTTATATTTATTATTTTTATATGTATTATATTTCTATTTATTTTATATATATTATATTTATTTTATTAAATTTGAGGGGTCATTTTCTCCCACCTGCAATTATTTTGATATTAATTTTTAATATTATATTTATTATATTTATTATATTTATATTTATTTTTATATATTATATTATATTTGCGGGGTCGTTTTCTTCCTCCTGAAGTCATTTTTATATTAATTTTTAATATTATTTTTATTATATTATATTTCTATATATTATATTTATATTTATTGTATTTCTATTTATAATGTTTATATTTATTTTTATATATTCTATTTATTTTATTATATTTATGAGGGGTCGTTTTCTCCCTCCTGTAATTATTTTTATATTAATTTTTTGTATTATTTTTATTATATTTATCATATTTATATATATAATATTTATATTTATTGTATTTTTATGTATTATATTTATATTTATTATATTTGAGGGGTCATTTTCTCCTTCCTGCAATTATTTCTATATAAATTTTTTTGTATTATTTTTATTATTTTATATTTATTATTTTATATTTATTGTATTTATTTATATATATTATGTTTATTTTATTACATTTCAGAGGTCGTTTTCTACCTCCTGCAATTATTTTTTATATTAATTTTTATATTATTATTTATATTTGTTATATTTATATTTGTTATATTTATATTTGTTATATTTATATTTGTTATATTTATATTTGTTATATTTATGAGGGGTCATTTTCTCCCTCCTGCAATTATTTTTATATTATTTTTTTATATTATTTACTTTATTATATTTATTATATTAATAAGGATTGATTCCTTCAGATTTGTTGCCTCTTCAGTCCCAAGGGAAGAAAGCTGGGAAGAGGCAATCAGAGGAAGTGGATCCCAGCTTTCCCATGCCTCTCTTCCTGGTAAAAGATAGAATTGTGCTGCTTGGAGGGATTTTTCTTCCCCTTAATTTGTGTTTTCCATCAGCTCAGAACGGTCAAAGAGCAAAAATCTGGGAATCCCTCACTGGGATTCCAGCTGGAAGCTGTTCCTGGGAACACACATTTCCCAGGATCCCTTTTTCCATCACCTGATGGAGCAGCTCCAGCCTTGCTTTGATATTTTGGTTTTTTTTCCTCTTGAATATATTCCATTTGTTTTGCAAAACAACCTGCAAGGGGGAGAAGAAAAAAATAGCAAAAAGCTGGATCAAAGCTTTGATCCAGTGAAAATGTTTAAAAAACCTGGAAAAAACAGGAATATTTCAGTGCCTCAGGTCCAAATCCTCCCCCTCTGTTGTTGTTTTCCCTCTGAGATGAGATGGGAGTGGCTGAGGAGGGCTGGGAATATTATCCAGCATTTCCTTTGTCTTCCTCTGGCTTCTCCCACATCCCAACTCGGGAATGAACAAATAACTGGGAGAATCCCTTTTTGTTCCAGCTGAATCCTGTGGCAGATTCAATCCAGGCAGTTCCCATTCCACACATTTTTCCTGCTTTACCTCACATTTCCCGGTGGGATCAGACGAAAGGAAACCTTTTTTTATTTTAATCCCACCCAAAAACTGATGGGATTAAAAACCCTTGAATCCCGAGCTCCTTCCCTCATCCCAAAAGGATCAACACCCCGAGCGTGCCTTGCTGTAGGAACACAAAACCACAAAACACAATCAATCCATGTTTTTCCTGGTTTTTTTCCCATCTTTTCCCAGCGATGCACGGCTGTTCCCAGGTCGTGGAGCTGCTCCTGGAGCGGTAAGCAGGCTCCTTCCAGCTTTTCCAGCTTTTCCTCCCCCACCTCCCATTCCCTGCCAGGATTTGGACACAAAGGATGCTTGTGCTGCTCCTGCCCTGCCCCTCCATCCCGAGGCTGGCTTTTCCAGGTTTTTCCCAGTTAGGAAAGAGACAAGGATTCCCTGGGGATGGGCTCCCTCTTGGTTATGACACAAATCCCAGTTATGTAACTTTCTTTTCCCTGCTGGTTCACTCCCAAAGGGATTCCTGGCAGCTTCCCTAAGCTGGGTTTATCCTTTTCTGGCTCCTGGGGAAATTGCTGGGAAGTGGCTTTAAAGCAGCTCTGTTCCCTTCCTAAATTCCCAGAGCAGCTTTTCCTGGGAATTGCAGCTCATCCCAACCCAGCATGAAGAACTCTGTGATCTTTAATTCAGTTTTAATTCAGTTTTCCCTCGTTTTCACTGGAATGAGACTGGTGGGCTCTTGATTTTGCACATCATTCAATGAGGATCTGGTTATTCCCTGCTTCCAGGCCCTCTGCTCAGGGAAAAAGGGAATTACAAATGAGCTGAACCAGATCCCTGATCCCAAAAAAAAAATCCCCATTCCCCAAACCCTAAAACCCACCAAACCAGGGGATGTGGATGAGCTTTATATATTCCATTTCCAATCCCAGCTGCTGAGAGTCTCCTTCCATAAGGATTTTGGAGCTGCCAGCAGCTGTATCCCGATTTTTCCTCCTGGATTCCCAGGTGTCAGTACCAGCCTGACAGCAGGGACAGCTGTGGGGTCACTCCCTTCATGGACGCTCTCCAGAACGGACACGTCGGCATCGCCCGGCTGCTCCTGGAAAAACACCAGGTGAGTGCCACAATTCCTCACCGCCTTTTCCAGGATCCACATCTTCATCCTCACTGGGGAAGCCAATTCCCAAATTGGAAAGAAAGGAATTGTGGTGAAAAAAAAAAAGTAATTCCCTCCTGGAGATGGGAAGGGTTTGGTTGAGTGAGGTCAGTGGGAATCATGGAATGGTTTGGATTGGAAAGAGCTTAAAAATCATCTCATTCCATCCCCTCCTTCCATGGGCAGGGACAGCTCCCACCATCCCAGGTGGCTCCAGGCTCCATCCAGCCTGGCCTTGGGCACTTCCAGGGATCCAGGGGCAGCCACAGCTTCTGTGGGATGGTGACAGCAGGAGGGGTCAGGACATTCCCAGCGCTCCAGGGGCAGCTGTGTCAGAGCTCTTGGAATGCCAGAGGCCGTGGAGAAGGTGGAAATGTCCATCCATGAGTTATCCAGAGCTCCTCCCTGCCCTCCCTCTCTCCTGGCAGGTCCTGTGCTCTCTCCCAGAAGTCCCTGATTTCCTCCAGAGAATGCCATTGGAGCGTGCTGGAGGAACCAGAGCGCTGCAATTTCCAGTTTACTGATGATTGATTGATTGATTGATTGATTCCTGGATGATCCCAGCAGGCTGGGGCTCCCTCATGGCTGATCTCCCAGAGCTGTTGGGAAGTTTGCTGTGGTTTTACCCTCACATTCCAAGCACTGAGGGTGGGAGACCTTGGAAACCTCCCGGAAGTTTCCAGGCGGCGCCGGTACCTCCAGAGGGTGGTGCTGTCATTTGGGATGAGCCCCCTTTATGTGTTATTCCGGTGATATTCCTGAATTCCAGGCCTGTCCCACAGCTGTGGATGCCCTGGGTGCTCAGGCCCTGCACAGAGCAGCTGTGACAGCCCAGGATGGATCCATCCAGTTCCTGGTGTCCGAGCTGGGCGTGGATGTCAACGGGAGAGCGACGTCCCTGCGGCTGCCAGCCCTGCACTACGCTGCCAAGGTTTGTCCCTGCTCCCAAATTCCCCTGGAAAAGCTTGTGCCAGGCACCTCAGCCAGGCTGGATCAGGTGTTTGCCACCATGGGTTTGTATTCCTGGCTCATCCTCTGCTCCTCCTGACTATTCCCTGTTTTCTGGGAAGCAGGGAGAGGGGAGATCCCACCTGGAGCAGCAGATCCCAGCCCTGGGAGCAACATCAGGAGGATCTGGAGAGTCCAGAGGAGTGCATGGAGCTGCTCCAGGGCTGGAGCCAGGCTGGGAGAGCTGGGAATGTTCTCCTGGAGAAGGGAAGGATCCAGGGAGAGCTTCCAGCACATTCCAGGGCCTGCAGGGGCTCCAGGAGAGCTGGAGAGGGACTGGGGACAAGGCCTGGAGGGACAGGACACAGGGAATGGCTCCCACTGCCAGAGGGCAGGGATGGATGGGATCTGGGGAAGGAATTCCTGGCTGAGCTGGAATTCCCAGAGCAGCTGTGGCTGCTCCTGGATCCCTGGAATGCCCAAGACCAGCTTGGATGGAGCTTGGAGCAGCCTGGGATGGTGTGAGGTGTCCCTGCCATGGCAGGGGTGGCACTGGGTGGGTTCTGAGGTCCTTCCCACCCCAGGAATTCCATGTTTGTTTCATGAATTCCAGCTGCCAGCTGGGGAGGGACAGGAGATGTGGCAAAGGAGAGCTGGGAAGGCGGGGGAAGCTCCTGGGATTTTATCTGTGTCCTTCACACTGGAGTTGTTTTGAATTCCAGAGCCACTGGAGCTTTCTCCTCCTCCCAGCCCATGTGGGAAGCAGAGCTGTGGGTCCTGCAACATTCCCTGGGAATGCAGAGCAGATCCCAGAACTTCCCAGCTGACCAGGATCATTCCTGGGATCTGTTAAATCCAGATCTCTGAGCCTTGTGGTGGGAATAAATCCCCATCCCAGTGCTCTGCTCCTACGAAACCATCCGTGCCATTCCCTGGGAATTCTGGCTCCATCCAGCCGTGCCCGCTCCCACAAAGGAGCCCTTTCTCCCGTTTTCCCGGCCTCCTGCTCCCAGGATCCACATCCAAAGCCCTTCTGGTTGCCAAGGGTACGTGGAACAGCTCTGGGGGGAATATAACGTGCCTTGGAGCAAATCCAGCAAATCCTGGGATTTGGGAATGATTGGATGGGATTCTCTCCCTTCCCCGGTGTCACTTTGTATTTACAGCAGCATTTGTTTGTGGTTTTATCTCCCTCTTTTCTTCTTTTGCATTTCTAAACACAGGAAAATCAAATTTTTTTTTTTTTTTTCAATTTGCTGCCAGGGCTATGGCAGCTACAGCAATTCCTGGCTTTGCCATGGAATTGGATTTTCAGGGAAATGGGAGCCTCAGGAGCAGGGAAGATGCTGTGGAATCCTATGGGAACAGGGGGAAAAAAAAGAGTGGGTGGGGAGGGGGATAAAAATAAGAGCTCTCCATTCCCAGGCCTCAGGACAAAGACTTAATTCATGGCACTGAGGATGGAATTCCAAAATCAGGCGTGTTATTTAGGGAGAAAGGATTTATTTCTGGAAAAGCCTCTGCAGGGAGCTGGGGGCTGGGCTGGGTTTTTCCCTGTGGAATTTGAAATTCCTGGCAGAGGAAGGAGGGAGGACACTGTGGATCCCTGGGTTTTCTCCCAGGGAAGAAGAGGAATTCCTGGAGGAATTCTTTGGGAAATTCTGGTGCCTGAGGGAGGCAGATGAGCAACGGCCCAGATCAGCAACAGGTTCTGCACCTTGGGTTGGAATAACCCTGGAAAAATCAACTCCAGATCCTCTGGGAATCCTGGAGGGGTTTGGAACTCAGAGTTGGAGCGAGCTCCAGGGCTGGAGCCAGGCTGGGAGAGCTGGGAATGTTCTTCTGGAGAAGGGAAGGATCCAGGGAGAGCTTCCAGCACATTCCAGGGCCTGGAGGGGCTCCAGGAAAGCTGGAATTTGGGAAGGGCCTGGAGGGACAGGACACAGGGAATGGCTTCCCACTGCCAGAGGGATGGATGGGATTTGGGAAGGAATTCCTGGCTGGGCTGGAATTCCCAGAGCAGCTGGGGCTGCCCCTGGATCCCTGGAATGTCCAAGGCCAGCTTGGAGCAGCCTGGGATAGGGAAGGTGTCCCTGTTGTTGGAATTTGATGATCTTTAAGGATTTTTTCCAACCCAAACCATTCTGGGCTTTTTAGGAAGGTGCCTGGTGGGACCTTTCTGGCCAATTCCCGTGGGATCACAGCAGCTGGAGCAATTCCTGCCTCATGGATCTGATCTTCCCTGCCACAGGCAGCTGACCTTGATTTCCATCTGCTCCAAGATCCTCTGGATCCCCCAGACCTGAGCAGAACAGAGCAATTCCAGGTCAGGGATGGATCCGAGTGCAGAGCTGATCCCAAATCCCACCTTCTGCAGGAAGGACATGGACAAACCATCCAGACCCTGCTGTCCCTCGGTGCTGATATCCAGGCTAAGGATGGGAAGGGCCGTTCTGGTGAGAATTCCAAGCTGTTTTTCCAAGCTTTATGTGACACCTGGAGCTTCCATGAGTGCATCCCAACCTCTGCATGCACGGGAGATGCCAAATCCATGGATACATTTGCTCTGGGAGCAACACCATGGATCCATCCCAGGGTTTTTTGGGCATTTTGCATTCCCTGGCTTTCAATTTACTGGAATTTCTGCTGGAGCTTTTCCCTGGGAGGGGCTGGGGGAAGAACAGAGACACAAACTGGGAATTCCCTGCTTATTTTTCACCTGAGGAGCCCCAGTGCTGCCTCCTCCCACTAAAATTTCTCTGGAATGATCCTGTTGGAAGCAGGTTGGATGGACAAACACATGGATTGAGCTCTCCAACCTCAATTCCTTAGCAAATCAGCCTGGAAATGGCTGATGAGCAAATAATACCAGGGAGCTGGCACGGAAGTAGAGTTGCTATAGCGATGCCGGAGCATCGGCATTCCCAGTGGGAAAAGCTCAGGCAAGCTCTTGCATCAGCATCTCCCAAAAAAACCCTAAAAAAATTAAAAATTTGTGAAAAAAAAAAAATGGACAAATGGTTTCAACCATTGGGGAATTGCCCAGCCCTGGGGTTTGGTGAAAGGTTTTAGCGGAGCCGCCTCTCCCTCCACCTCCTGTGGGATTAAATCTGAGCTCCGCTGAGCTCATCCAGCCCTGGGATGTTTTTTTCCTGTTGCTCCTCCTTGGCTGGGTTTGGGTCACTGCGTCCTTGGGAAGCTTCTCATCCACAGCAGGATTATCCAGAGGGATCAGGAAACCTCATTTGGATTACAGGGAGATTTTTTCTTTTACAGTGAGAATGGGGAAGAGCTGGGTTGGAATTCCCAGAGCAGCTGGGGCTATCCCTGGAATTTGGGAATGGCCAAGGAAGGGTTGGAGCAGCCTGGGATGGTGGGATTGGAATGGGATGGGATTGAAGGTCCCTGGATCCCATCCCAAAGCATTCCGGGATTCTGGGATTTGGGAGGCTCCGAATCCATCCCGAGGGATTTTTCTGGGAAATGGGGATGGGAAAGAGAGGGAAAGGGAAGGGAGAGCCTTGGTGGCTTCCTGAGATTGCAAGGGAAGGCCCTGGGTCCATCAATTCCTTGGAGAGGAGATGGATCCAATGTCAGGCTCTGGAGCCAGGCTGGGAGAGCTGGGAATGTTCTCCTGGAGAAGGGAAGGATCCAGGGAGAGCTTCCAGCACATTCCAGGGCTCCAAGAGAGCCAAGATTTGGGAAAGGCCTCGAGGGGGCAGGAGCCAGGGAATGGCTCCAGATTGGAAAAGGGGAACTGGGGTGGGATTTGGGAAGGAATTCTGGGACAGTGGGAGCTCCCTGTCCATGGCAGCAGGATGGAAGCTCACACTCGATGATCCCAAGATTAATTCCACAACTTTTTCCCAACCCAAACCGCTCCACCATTCCACACTGGGAAAAAACCACCATTTCCCCCCTCCACCTGTTTCCTTCCATGGGAATCCCGGATTTTATCCCAGAGCAGGATGAGCCCAACTGGTTGTGTCCCCCCAGCCCTGCACGCGGCCGGCGCCGGGCAGCGCGCCGAGGCCGCCGGCGTCCTGCTGCGAGCCGGGCTCCGTGACGCTCCGGATAACTCGGGAATGCTGGCACGGCAGCTGGCCAGGAAGCCGGAGATCATCCGGGTTTTCCAGGGAATGCAAGAGGAAAGCCGCTCCTTTTCCATGTGGTACGTTGGTTATCCCTTCCCTCAGGGAAACATTGATTAAAATGTTGGGATTTTTACCCAGAATCGAGCGGAGGAGCTGAGCTGGATTGGGAAGTGGATTGAGGAGAAATGTTTGAAATAGGATTATTTCCAAAGGTTGTGGAGGGGATGGGGCTGCGCTCTTCCCTGGGACAGGTTTTCCAAAAAAGTTGTGGCTGTTCCATTCTTGGAAGTGTCCAAGGCCAGGTTGGAGCAACCTGGGAGAGTGGGAGGTGTTCTCTTGGTTTGGAATTAGACCATCTTTAGGTCCTTTCTCACCTCAACAATTCCATGTTTTTATCACGTTCCTGCTTCTGATAAAAATAATTTTATTATGTATAATGATAAATTATAGAATTTATAGTAAGTTATATATTATTTTCTATTATATTATATATAAAATATATATAATATAATAATAGATATATATTATATTATAGTAATAATTATATTATATATAATAAATTATATATTATATATTTTTATATTATATTAATTATATTATATTAATTATATTATATTTATTGTATTATATTTATTAAACATATATAATTATATATTGTATTTATGGTATACTATAATAAATATATAAAATTATATATAATATAATAATTTATAATCAGTATAATAATTTACAATTAAAATAGAAGAAAATAGAAGGAAAAATAGAAAATAGAAGAATTGTAAGAATTATAATAATTTTAATAATTTATATGTAGTCTATAGAATATTATATAGAATATATAATATAGATAATAATTATAATAATTTCTAAATTATATAAATTATATAAATAATAGATATGATATAATGATATAGACATGATATAAATTATATAAATAATTTATAAATAATAAAAATAATTTTATTTTATGTATAATAATAATTATATAATTATATGTTTTATATAATATATAATTATGTATTTTCTAAAATTAATCATTATTTACTAATTAATTATTAATTAGCAAATTTATTTTTAAGTAAATTATTTGTAATTATTATTTAATTTATATTTATTTAATATATATTTACTAAATAAATTATTTAGTAAATTATTAGTAATTTTTTTAATAATTATAGAATAATTACATATTTTATAGAATTGATTGTATATTATAATATGTAATTGAATTTATTATATTTTTATTTATTTATTTACTTATTATAAATTTTAATATAAATTTTAATATAAATTTATAATATTAATTTGTTTATAAATTTATTTTCTTCTTTCATTTCCAGATTCCAGGGCTGAGCTTCCCTTCTTCCCATGCAGCTCCCTGAAACAGAACCATCCAAGGAAATCTCCACTTCTCGGGATCCTCACGGCTTTTCCTGGGAATTTCCACACAAAATCCACCTGGATCATTGATTTTCCAGCTCTTCATGCACCTGCTCTCCCCTAATCCCTGAAATTCCTGGAATTGTGAGGCTCTTGAAGCTGCACCAACCTTTTCAATCCTTTTTGTATCCCACGGCTGATCCCAAAATCTGCGGGAATCCGTGGTGGGACCTCAGCCCTGGGAGGACATCGGGAATCTTTGGATCAGACTGAAATAAGGAGCTGTTTTAGTCCAGATTGGAATGCTGGGCAATTCCCAGAACCCATGAACTTTAAATCCCAAAAAATCTGCTCTTGGAAACCTGGGATTCGCAACAAGGTAAGAGCAGCTGCAGCTGTTGGGATTGTGCAGCTGGAATGATAAATTCCATAAAAAAAATGATGTGTCCTCGTCCGTTTGTAATGACAGGACTTAAAAACTGATGGAATTCTGCTTTTTTTGGGATGGCAGAGGTTAAAAATCAGGAAGGGAATGAGTTAAATGTGAAATTCCCACTCAAACTCCCAGGAATTGTGGTGGGAGCTGGATCAGCCCCTGGGTTGGCGAGGAAATTGTTTTATTCCTCTAAAAATCCTGGATCCTTCTGTAAATCCAGCTCTTTCCTACAGCTGGAAATGCAAGGGGCTGCTTCATTCCGATTTATTTCTAATTCTAACAAACCATGGAATTGCTGTGTCCTCCCAATATCCCTAAAATTTTTTATCCATAAAAACTGGGATTGCCGACGAGCCTGTGAAAAATCAGCGGGAATGTTTCCAAATATCCATGGAAACACAAATGGGAAACTCCTTAAAAACATGAAAACACCTTCAAAACACAACGGGGAATGTGCATAAATTTTGAGGGTCGGGAAAAGACCGTGGATTCAGTTTTATTCCTGAAAAATTCACACAGGGAAAAGCCCTTCCTGGTTTGTTTTTTTTTTCCAGCTGCACGGATTTAACAAACCTTTGTGTCCCTGGGAGTGAATCCCACCGCATTCCCATGGGAATGGCTCACAGGGAGCCCAGGGAAGCAGCCTGGAGCAGAGCCCAGGAGAACAAAGCTTTGGAATTGTTGTTCCTCCACCTTTTCCAGCCTTGGCGCTGGGGCAAAAAAAATTCCAGGTGTGGCAGCTGCAGGGAATTCTGGAATCATGGAATGGTTTGGGTTGGAAGGATCATCCACTTCCAGCACTTCCACCATCCCAAAATGCTCCAAGCCCTGTCCAACCCACCCTTGGACATTCCAGGGATTTGGGGCAGCCACAGCTTCTCTGGGAATTCCAGCCCAGCCAGGAATTCCTTCCCAAATCCCACCCCAATTCCCCTTTTCCAATCGGGAGCCATTCCCTGTGTCCTGTCCCTCCAGGCCTTTCCCAAATTCCAGCTCTCCCGGAGCCCCTCCAGGCCCTGGAATGTGCTGGAAGCTCTCCCTGGATCCTTCCCTTCTCCAGGAGAACATTCCCAGCTCTCCCAGCCTGGCTTCAGAGCAGAGGGGCTCCAGCCCTCGGAGCAATTCCATGGATTCCTCTGGATTTGCTCCAGGTCCTGCTCCAGCCTCCCATTCCTGGCCCAGGTGGCCTCTCCAGGTTTTCCTGGGATGATGCTGAGGGTGAGGGATTGCTCCGAGTCCCATCTGGGATTTTTCCATGGAATCCTGGGATCGTTGAGGTTGGGAAAGGCCTCGTTGAGGAACTGTCCCCCAGCACAGCCATGTCCCCAAGTGCCACCTCCAGCTGACCCCGAAATCCCTGCAGGGATGGGGATTCTCCTGGGCTTTTCCCGGATTCCCTTTGGGATTTTCCTTCCCACTTCCCCAGGGATTCACTCCCTGGCTCTCCTCTCCCAATCCTGCTGCCGGACACGATCCAAGAGCTTGAGGAGCTGCTGCTGCTGCCCGTGGATCACCATCCATCCCTTTTTCCACCTCATCCTCATCCAGGCTGCATTCCAGCTCCAGGAACCTCCACACGGACATTCCTTGGATCCTCCTGCCAGGTGCCACCGCCTGTCCCACCCCGGGCTGGGCGTGTCCCCAAGGGATGAGAATTCCTGGTGAGGACTGAAGCAGAGCCGTGGTTTTTCCTTCCTGGAATGCTGGAATTCCTGGAATTCTGCTTTCCTGGATTTCTGCCTTCCTTCCTTCCTGGAATTCTTCCTGGAATTCTTCCTGGAATCCTTTCTGGATTTCTTCATTCCTTCCTTCCTGGAATCAACCCTTCCTTCCTGGATTTCTTCATTCCTTTCTTCCTGGAATTCTTCCTGGAATCAATCCTTTCTTCCTTCCTGGAATCAATCTTTTCTTCCTTCCTGGATTCTTTCTTTCCCAGAATCTTTCCTTCCTGGAATCTTCCCTTCCTTCCCAGAATCATTCCTGGGATCCTTCCTGGAACCTTTCCTTCCTAGAATCCCGTACCTGCTACTTGGCCACCCAAAATCCCTGCAGATCCCCATCCACCCCTCCAGCTTCTCCAAACCATTCCCACAGCAGGGCTTTGCTCCCATCCCCAGGCGGAATTTTTGGGAGCTTCTCCATCATTCCCGAGGATTCTGATCCATGGGGTGTTATCCCATCCCTCAGCCGGGAAATTCCCGCTTCCCACCAGGAAGTTTTTTGGTGTAGAAAGGGGAGAAATTGTGGGAGAAGGAAAAGTGGGAATGCAGCCTAATTTTGGGATCGTTAGAACTTCCCATCAAAAGTGGTTTGGGAATGGGATGGGATGGAAAAGCACTGGATGGGATGGGGGGATCCAATTAAAGCCCCCCTAATTAATTTAAGGACCTCCCTAAATTAAGGATGCTCCCCAGAGAACCCCAAAAATCGAGGAGCTCCCCGATATTAAGGAACATCCCCAAATTGAGGATGCTCTTAAAATTAAGGATCCTTAAAATTTGGGATTTCCCCCCCAAAAAAAGAGAATCCCCTTAAATTGCATCACTCAAATAGGACCCCCAAAATGAAGAACATCCCCAAATAGAGGATCCTGCCCTAAATTGAGGAAAATCCCCCCTAAATTGAGGAAAACCCCCCCAAATTGAGGAACCCCCCTCCCCAAATTGAGGAAAATCCCCCCAAAATTGAACCCCCCCAAACCGATGAATACCCTAAACAGAGGAACCCCCCCAAACCGAGCTCTGTCCCCGGATACAAAACTTTCCCCCATAAACTGAGGGTCCCCTCCAAGTGGAGGAAATCCCCCAAATTGAAAATCCATAAAAACTGAGGACCACCCCCAATTAAAGTGCCCCCCTAAACTGGGACCACCCCAAATAAAGGACACCCCCAAAAGAAAGGACCCTCCAAATTAACCCCCCCCTCCAAATTGAGGGCTCCCGAAACTGCAGTTCCCCCCCGAGTAAATCAAAGAGCCCCACCAAGCTGAGGAAACCCCACAAATTAAGGAGCACCCCACAAATTAAGGAGCACCCCCAAATTTAGGACCCCTCCCCAAATTTAGGGTCCCCCATGCGCAGCCCGAGCCCGTAGGGGCGGCCATGGAACTGCGCATGCGCGCCGCGCCCCCACCACGGTGGCAGCGCCGCTCGCGCGCGCAGG